AATCCCCATCAGAGCACACGCCATGAAACTGTGTTAATGGATGTAACACATATTACAAAATCTGCATGTATGAGCCCTTTTCCTCCTTCCCTTTTTGCTTTAAGTGGGTGAAGTATAATAAATAATAGATATTAGCAATTAAGCATTCATTTCTAAGCATTCATTTATATATTTGAAAATAAATTAGCCACAAACTACAGCAATGCAGATATAGCCCTTCTGTTTTTATTTCTGCTTTCCTGGCTGAGCACAAAAAAGAAAGACATTATTGCATGTATCTCAATAAGAACAATGACCTCACCTCTTCATTGGTAGATTAATGATTACAAAAAGAACTATATTTAATAATGTTGCCAGGCTGACATCACTCTACATTTTCACGCTCTTGGTGGCTCCTGGCTGTCAATCCAGCCTTGATTTATGCTGCAGTGTCTCCTAAACAGGACCTGATCCAAATGTACCATATTTATGTTGGATTTTCCACTGATGTTGCTTGGTTGACATTACTAAAACAGCTTCTGCAAAGTGAGTTACATTCTTTCTTCCAACTGTATCACTAAGCTACACTGTTGACTTCAGTGAAATGCATTTGTTTTCTTGTGTTGTTTGTGTATTTAGTTTACTGTGATTTAAGTTTTGTACTCATAACTATTATTTAGTTTTCTCTTCCTTTCCCTTCCACATGTATTCAAATTGCAAACTGTTTACTCCAGCATAAATATGTTTCATCTCAAGGTACCTGGCATTTGTCCCCATATTTTGTTACAGGCAGGCTGAATCTATGTCTGATACATATTTGTGTGCCTCTGGTAAAGCATTTCCACCCTACTTGAACTTTTGGAGCAGCCTTTTGCTATTAGCAATCAATATTAAGCAGTTTCTCCAGTCAAGACTTCCATATGTACTCAAATGCATACCAAGAGCTTTGGAATAAGTGGATTTATCAAGTCATTCAATAGAGTAGAGGATGCAATTGTTTGTGAGAGAGAATGGACCGGTTTCCTCAATTTAAGTTAAAAGGGAAGCCACTGGGCAGGATAGCCCACACATGGAAAGAATCTCTGACTGAAGGCAGATACTGGTGTATGAGCTCTCTCTGTAAATTTACGTGAATATTCTAACAAGTCTCAGGGGACTGCTTTTTCTAGAGATCTAAGTTTGAAAAACAGATCATGTTGTTAATTGTCTTTGCTACTCTTTAAATTAAACACTCCATGTTAGATATTTCACAGATAGCCTCCACATTTGTTTGAACCATTCCCCTTAATAATGATAAAAATGGTTATAATGTTCTTGCTACAGGAGATAGGAGAGCTCCAATTATTGTGAAAGATCAGCCATAAAATAGATCCGACCCTAATGGTTGCTTTGGAGCATTGTGGTTTATTGTGCTGATCTGTACTTAGTACTGCTTAGTTCAAGGATCATTAATATGATAGATGTGACAAGATCCATCTATTTGATGACAATCCTTCTAATTCTGCTTTAGAAATAGCAACATCAGCAAATTGCATCCAAGGGCCAAAAGTATCCCAGATGCTGTACCGGGCATGTTACATCTAGGGAAGGTTTAAAATTAGAGAATCATATGTTCTGGTAGGCATGATGGTTACTAGGCATTACGGCATTAATGTATGATAATGTCAAGTTTCAGGAACAGTACGCAAGACAACACAAGCAGGAAGATGCTATTGCACATTCATCAGGAACCACAGACTCATAGAATAGTAAAGTTGGAAGGGACCAATAAGTCCTGGTCAATGCAGGACTCCAAGTTACAGTATCCCTGACAGATGGTGGTCTGGCTACATCTTGAATCCCTCTAGTGTGGGAGATCCCATAAGCTCCCCAAGCAATGGGTTCCATTGCCATACTGCTCCAACAGTCAGGAAGTTTTTCCTGATGCCCAGCCAGAATCTGGTTTCCTGGAACTTGAATACATTATTCTGTGCTATGCACTCTGGAATGACAAGAGAACCAGGTCCTCCTGTGACAACCTTCCAAGTACATGAAGAGTTCTATATAATATCAGTCTTCTCTTCTTAAGGCTAAAATGCTGAGTACTTTCAGTCTCTCCTCATATGGCTCTTCTCCACTACCCTGATCATCTTTGTTTCCCTCCTCTGAAAATTTCTAGTTTGTCTGCATCTCTAGTACTCTAGATGAGGCCCAATCAGTGCTGGGCAGAGGGAAACTAGTACATATATTACATGATTTGGAAGTGATGCAGCCCAAAATAATATTTGCTTTTTTGTAGCCACATTTTTACTCATATTCAGCTTATGATCTACAACAACTCCAAGTTCCTTCTCACTTGCAGCATCACTGAGCCAAGTATCTCTTGACTTACAGGGTATTTGCTATCTCACACATTTTTTTCTGTCATCTGCAGATTGGATAAGCATCCAAATCATGGATAAAAACATTGACAAGCACTGGGCCCCAGAATGAACCCTAGGGTACCCCGCTTGTTACCTCTCCCCAGTTTGAGAAGGAGTCAAGTACTCCTTGAGTCTGATTCTATAGCCAACTGTGAATCCACCTGATGGTTGTTCCATCTAGCTCACCTCTAGATAATTTGCTAATCAAGATATCATCGGGCCCTGTGTTAAAAGCTTTGCTGAAGTCAAGCTATATTCCAGAATCCATCTGGATTAGTGGGTGGCATACAAATTCAAAAATAAACAAACAAAAAATAAAATATTTCCACAGTCTACAAGGGAGTTTAACCAACCCAAAGAAAAGAAAGAAAGAAAGAAAGAAAGAAAGAAAGAAAGAAAGAAAGAAAGAAAGAGGGAGGGAGGGAGGGAGGGAGGGAGATCAGATTAGTCTGGATGGATTTTTCTTGACAAATCTATGTTTGCTTCCAGTAATCAGTGTGCTTCCTGTAATCAATGTGTGTTTTCAATGTGCATGCAAACTGGTTTAAAATCTGCCCCAGAAATTTCCCAGGGATTAATGTCAGACAGAATGGTCTGTAGTTCCAAGTTCCTCCTTTTCAAAGACAGGGAAATCTTTAGCCCTCCTCTCATCATCTGACACTTCACCTGTCCTCCATGATTTCTCTAAGATAATAGTGGTTCTGAGAGTTCTTCTAACAGTTATGCTAGAATGCAGTTCACTAGGCCCTGGAGATTTGAACTTGTTCAAGGTAATGAGGTGTTCCTTGATTGTTTGCTTATCAGCTTGTTCTTCACCTTTGTTAGGGAGGTAATAAGCACTCCTTTGAGATAACACTGAGTCAAAGTAGGAATTGAGCACTTCAGTCTTTTCTTTTTTCATCTGTTATTTTTGCCATCCTCAATGAGTATTGGAACCACCATTTCTTTCCTGTCTTTTCCTTTGCATGTATCTGAAAAAGGGTTTTTTTGTAGCCTGACTTTCCTTCCATTTCCTATGCATATGCTTCTTTATTCATGTTTTGCTTTGCTTTGCTTTGCTTTGCTTTTTGGTCATCCCTAACCTTTACGTAAAGCCACATTGCCTTCTTCTTTTGCCTTCTTTTCTCTTTTTATAATTTCCCTTTAAAAAAAACTCCTATCCAACTGGAACTCCTTTTCTCATCAGATTTACCTGTGATAGGCTCATACATATCCCTGCTCTGTGTTTATTAAAAGTGGCTTTCCTAAACCCAAACATAGATTTGAGAATACATAAAAAATGCTCATGCGTCAACATTAAGCTTGGTATATTTTCCAGGGTCCACAATTTTCGGTCACCTCCCTCCTTCCCCAGCTCCAAGTTTGCAGCTGGGGACCGCTCATCAACGCTAGGAAGAAGGGTGAGATTGCTTCACCCCCTCCAAGGCCCAAAGCTGCTGTTGATTACAGTACCCAGGAAACAGCAGCATCCTCCCCAATGCTAAAGTGGCAAATGAATCTGTGGAAACCTGACCTTCCCATACAAAATGAGAGGAGCTGAAGAGAAGTACCAGAGCTAGGAAATACTAAAACTGAAATGTAGTGGGATGCCCTTACCACTAGTGGTGGTGGTACTACTGTCCCAGTGCAGCTGTTTTTGGAATTTCTTGTAAAAATGTAACTCATTTTGCATTCTATTTAGTACAAGAGGAATGGCATGGGATAGAAAAGAGACCCTCTATAGCTGCATTCAGACATTATGCCTCCAATGCATGAGGGGAGATGTGGGGATATGCATGAGCCCTGCCCTCCATGCATTTGGAGGGGAAGGTGTGAGTTGTTTCCCCATGTGATTTAGAACCCTGCCCAGTTTCATGTGGGAAAACTCCATGAGAACATCAGGGCCCACATCCGATGTTCCTGCACCAATATGTGAAGGGATGGACAATATGCTCGAGAGGATGAAGCCAGCCTTTCCCATTCTCCCTCGATTGTGTGAAGTTCCTAGTGGCTGAATAGGGCTCATGTCTCTACAGAACATGACCAACAGGGTTGGCATTTCAAAATAAACTAAGTGTCCAGGACGGGTCTATAATCTTTTGATCCCTATGGTGAAAAGAGAACCTCAGTTAGTTAAAAAGGAAGACAACCACTGTCAATTCTGTGTGTTCCCCAGCAAACCACTACAGATAGTGGGTCTTTTACTTGGCCACCCACAATTTTTTTTTTTTTGGCCATGAAAGACTAATATCATGAAAGTGGTCATAACTCGAATCAACCCCAGGCTTTGAATTCCTTCGTCCTCACATGCCATTGCTTTGAGTGTCTTTTGTGTTGTGCATATATTCAGATAAAGCCATAGAGAAGGTATCAAGGTCTCACTCGCTCTTCCCAGCCCTCAAACATGTAATCTCCCACACCGATCTAAGCACACAACTTCAATGTACAAATGGGATTTCCAACATTCCCACTTTGGGAAGCTCCTTTGTACATTGAGCTGGTGTGCTTACATTTATACATTCCACAAATGCAGTATAAGCCCCCTGACCCAGTCCCATTTTCCTCTCAATGCAAAAAGTTGAATATATGTACAGATCATTTATATAGAAAATTTCTAGGAATCTGCTTAGTTTCTTGTACCATTAGTGTCTCTTTCATGGACTGATGCATTATCTTCAAGGTAGCTGAACTGTGCTCTGCATTTCTGAAGGGATGATAACGTAGATGTACTAGATTCCGACAGTTTTCTCTCATTTTTGGTGTCTTTGCCTGGGACATCTGTGATGCTGAATTCTGATACTGAGCTGAGAACAATACCTTTCATAGGTTTCTCATCCTTAATTGCTAGATGATTTTCTAGAGTGAAGAAGACATTAAAAATTAATGCATTTAGAAAAATAGGTGTTTAGAACTTGTTCCCATATATCACACATACTCACCATGCATAAGGTTCCAAGGCCATCAGAAAAATGATAAAGCTGAAATTCAATTTCTAGTTAGTATTTATTATTGGTTTGATTTATATCCTACATTTCCACCAAACAAATGACTCGCAAGGTGGCTAACAATAAGAATAAAAATTACGACAAAAACTTAGATGAATGATCCTAAAAACAATACATGAAAATACAGTTTGTTAAAAATTATTTTATTCAAACTGTAGCACTCAACTCAATAGAATACACTTTGGCAACAGACCAGTTCGTATGCCAGAGGTCTGCTTGAATAACAGTGCCTTTGCCTGCCAGCAGAAAGACAGAAGGATGAAAGCCAACCTAGTTTTCTTTGGAAGGGAGCTTCAGAGTTTGGAAACACCCCCTGTAAAAGGCCCCTTTCTACAACTTTGAAAAATGTGCTTCTGATGGTGGTGCAGCTAAGAGAAACACCTCCCCTCAAATTCTTAAATTTTAATTTCTCACTTGGGGGAAGGCGGTCTTTCCAGTAGCCTCACCCCAAGTCCTCCAGGGCTTTATAGGTCATAACCAGCACTTTTCAATGTCCAGAAATAGACTGGCAGCCAGTGAAACTGTTGCAAGAGGGTGGTCACATGCTCTGTGTAACTTGCCCCAGTCAACGGAGACACCGGAGGCGAATAACCAAAGTGGTAAGCAAGAAATGTCCAGCACCACCTTCTGAGGTCATCCTTCTGAGAAGGACTGGAGCTACCACAAACAGTTTCTCCATCCTACCCCAGAGGAATCTAAAGGTGGGTCATTCAACAAGGTGACCAAACCATTCTCTGCCCCATAATCTGGACTGAAACCAGATTGGAATGGTTCTAACATCTAACATGAGATCTGAATTACCATGTTGTGCATACCTGTCAAATATCAGCACAAACGTTTTAAGGCCAAGATCAAGTTCTCATCATTCTTGTTAGAGGCTCTTTCACTATTACTTCAATTGTAGTTGGAGGATATAAAACCAGCAAACAATTTGACCCTCGGAAAATGTATCTCAACCTATTTTACACATAAGCCTACATAGAAAACCTATTTTACATGTCATTTAAAAATGCCCTCAGATTCTGACCAACTTCCAACATTCCCATGAGGGCCACAAAACGTACATAAGCATTCAACAGAAAGAGACTGGGGAAGATCTGAAGGAAATAATTAGTAAATGCTACATTAGCCTTTTGCTATATCCAGAGGCTGCTCTGTGCATCAAGCCGAGCTTTGTCCTTCAAGTGCTGTTGGAGAGGAAATCAAGACTAGAAGTATAAAAGACATAGATTTAACCTGAATTCCCCATTACAGCACCCTCAAAGAAACGGGTAAAAAAAGCTGTCATTCAAGGACTCTTTTGTTTGTTCAAGAATGAAAATAGAGTGCATTTTACTGTCAGGCTCTTATTCTGAAAAGCTTCTACTAAGTAATGTTATACGTGTCTTGTTACAGAAAGATCAAGTCCTGGTACAATCACCATAACAAGCAACTTGCTATGACAAGCAGGATCCTGTCTTCCAGAAAACATTGCAGTTGAGAGAAAGCGGTGCACAATTATAGGTCTCCATTTCATTTTTATGCAATTACCCTCGGTTCAGCCATGGGCCCATCTACATTATCTCTTTTATCAACGTAATGCTTGCAGAAAGTGTCTGTGGAAATCAGGTTTATGTGGGCCAGCATGAAATCACATGGTTAGCTCTTTCCTTGAGAGTCTGCCATTCATTCTATGGTTATGATAATAGGTGCAGACTTGGGGGCCAGATGGAGGAAAAAATGGCATTTCAAGTACATAATACTCAGCTGGTAATATTTATGGTCAGCTTAAATGTGAGTGCAACAAAAATTAATTTACAATTACATATAGGTGGGATATTAAACTCCAAGTTCCAGTTTTGAAATATTAGAATGCACAGCCCGGCTTGTAACTAATACACACCCACAACAGTTCTTGAGCTTAGCTGTCAACCCAGTCTCCATTCACCTTCTCTTGCTACAAGTCAACAAGACAACCCTCTGTTCTTTATTAAAGTGGGCCCTCTTCAGTTTCCAGTATCTAACGCTTCAGCATATTTCACAGTAAAGTGAGAAAGCCACTAAAATGAAAAGTCAAGCAGTTTTGCAGGTGTTTGGATATAGCATATGTCCAGGATTTGTATTTAGGGTGTGCTGGGAGGCATGCTTCAGACCATATATGGTCATGCATCAGAAATATCTATCTCTTTACAGACAGACCTCGGTCAGTTCAATCACAGGCTACAAGGGTCCAGGTTGTGCCTTCCTATCTAAATGGCAAGGTACATGGAAGGACCAGTTCCATCTATACCACAGAATGCAGTGAGATAAGACACAGGCAATTATTATTATTATTATTTATTATTATTATAACATTTCTATGCCATGATCCCATGAAAAAAGCCCATGCACTGAAAAGGGCGGCAGGGCCACACTGCTCTTGTCCCTGCCTTCCACCTGTTCAGCATGGATGTCTGAGCCTGGGACATCTGCACACAGTCCACACATGCAGATTTCCATGGTAGCCAGTTTAGATGAGGATAACAGGCAGCAGAATGAGGATTCCACATTCGCTTAGGAGGGTCTGTGCCTGTGCACCACAGCTCTGTGGGAGAGCACTGGCGTTGCATGCAGAACGCCCCAGATTCAGTCCACAGCATCTTAAGTGTGGCTCGGGAAGGATCCTGCTCGGGCACCCAAGAGAGCCACTGCTGGTCAGAGCTGTTGCCTGTCATCAGTACTGGGCTACATGCGGCAGTGGCCTAATGCAGTGAAAGGCCCACACTCTGTTGCCCCTTTCGCCTGTGCTCCCCCTTCATGCATTTGCCTTCTGAACAGTTCTAGGGACTGCACAAGATGTGTGAGATCCTAAGTATGCCAATGTTTCCTGATCCAGAATAAAGGAACCATTTGCAAAAAGATGCAGTTGCTCACAATTCTCCATTGTGCTCAAAAGAGAAAAAGAAAAGAAAAAGAAATTGGCAAGCAGCACAATTATTGTATGATTGAGAGATCATTGAGAGCTGGCGTGGTGCAATGATGAAGAGTGCAGGACTGGGATTCAGGCTGCTTGTGCTCTAGTCCCCCACCAGTCATGGAAGCAGCTGGGTGACCCTGGGCCAGTCACAGACTCTCAGCCCAACCTACCTCACAGGGTTGTTGTTCTGGGGATAAGAGTGAGAGCAGGAGGGTAAGAATGATGTAAAACGCTTTGAATCCAGTGTTAGAAAAAAGCAGGAAATAAATCTAATAAACAAACAAATGATAGGTGTAATGTTAACCCTTGTGAAAGTGCACTCTAGAATCCTTGCCCCCATGAAGTTTCACTTTCTCAGATTTGGTTTAGCGCTCTTGAGTGAACCTACTGGAAGCAAATGAGTTTGTAACAGAGCTTTCAAAAAATTACACCTTGAAAGTCTTGTTACTTGCTATTTCATACTGGGAGAGGCAGTTACTTGTTATTGATGTCATCTGGAAACTTCTCCTGAGATCACAGCTTCCTTGTGCGAGATGCTGGTCCTAGTACAAAAGAGCCCCTTCTGCTTGCAACGGTTACCAAAAGGCAGGGGGTATGAACACTCGCACAGACTCTTTCAGTGCTATCCAAAAACTAAAATAAGATATAGGCAAAGACCTTAGGCATATATAAAACACACACATACATGGTTGGTGTACCCGTGGTTGTGACGAGAGAGAGTCAGAGATTAACTTGCGCCATTTCAATGCATTCCCACAAACGGAGCCTTACCTGGATGATCGGCTTGATTCAGAATTACGATGGGAAGAACTTGCAGGGGAAGGGAGCTGGTGCAGCTGTCTTGGTGGAAAAGCAAACAAGACGCCATCAGTCACTACTACGCATCCATCAATAAAGAGGGGTGCGCGGGCGTGTGTCCGAGCACCGCAGCACCAGCACCATGATACTTGCATACCAGAAATGTGGCACAAATACGGACTAGGGCCCAGGGGATATCCCTCACTGCATTTTTTAAAATTCGTGTCAGAATTAGTTGAAATACGTCCGTGTGTCTGAGAGCTTTCCTAAGCAGGGCATGGCACCGCAGTTGAGGCTGCCCTCTTCCCACTGCTGTGGGGCATCTCTCCCTCTGGGGCATGGAGTGTACAGACCTCTCCACCAGGGGCTATAGGGGTGCACTATGTCCCCAAGTGTGGCAGCAGACATGGCTCCAGCTCAGGCAGGCCAGGCACAATTGCAGATGTCATAAGACCCATTCTCTGGATGGTCAGACGCCTTCCATTCTCTCACTAATTCATTGATAGAATCCGATGTTGCACTTGTGGAAATGAACAAATCCCCCCCCCCCCCGCATACATGTATCTCTCCCAATTATGCCCCTGCCATGCTTTAGCCAATGGGAGAAATATCGGGTTTGGTCAGCTCCCCCCTCCCCGCCAATTTTCTATAACAAAATAAAATTATGGGAAATTAAGAAAATGGGCTGCAAGTGTGTAGAATCTGTGTGACTTGGGAAAAGCTGGACCACTGCAGAATCAGTGCACTGGGGTCTTAAACATTTAAAACATGTGAGCTGGTTGCAGATGTGTTTGGGAGCTTTCGATTGGACACCCATGTAATTTTGCCTGAAGGGTCCTCTGGATCAAACTGAGGATGATTCAGGCTGGGCCATTCAACCTGGGTCAGATCACTGTGAAAGTGCATCCAAGAGAATGTTCTGTAGTGACGGTTTCGACTGAGAGACAGAGCTCATCTTGATGGGAGTATGTCGGTGGGTGCTTCTTCAGCACAGTTGCTGAATGTTTCTGGGGTGTCCCTTATTTCCCAAAGGAAAAGTATTTTGGCCAATGCAGTCCCTGCATAACTGGGCTCAAGAGTATCTGAATGCACTGCAGCATTTGAGGAGCTCACATAGGACTTTTAGACTAGCAGATGCCGAAACCTTTAGGCTGAGGCTTCACCAAGGTCTCTGGCTTGACCTCTCATTTCCCCCTGTGTTCCTGGAAGCCTTCTCTGTGTGGGGGCCTTTATTCTCCCCAGCAAAGCAATGCTTCCAATGCTGTCAGCATGGCCAGAAAGAATGTAGATCTTGTCCATTTTGGCCACGGACAGTCCAGTCCTCCAAACTCAAGACATTACGTAGCTTTGATTTAATATATTGTTAGTCAGTGGCCAGAAGAATCCCCATTTCTTCCTCTGTCCTTTTGTTTTTATTGACTTGCCCTTTGTTTACATCACTTGGATCTCTTGTGAGATGATCTCATGTGCACAAAAAACTCTGAAATCGCTGTGAGGACTACAGGTTTCTTGGGTGGAAAAGACAATTCAAATGTGTGTGCTTATATGCATGCATGAACATGTATGCATCTGTACAGGCAATTTCTTGCTCTCCCCTTCAGGCTAAGTAGTTGTGAGAATCTGCACTGTGCATATTAGGCAAGGTACAGAAATGTGACAACAACTTATCCTAATTGAAACATGAGGACAGAAATAGAGGTGCTGTGTTGGTGCAATTACGTTTAAAACAAATTGTGATTGGCTTTCATACTCCCACAACCTTTCTGTTTCTTAGACTGAGGCATGCTAGGAAGTTTGGAAAGAGTTTATTTTAGATGCATAGATAGAAACAGGAAACTGTTTATGAGGCTATAAATACACAATTGATCGCTTATGACATCATTAAACCATGCAAACCTCTTCACTTTTAATTTATGATGATGCATGAGTAATTCATATTGGATTTAGATTTACTAGATGTACTACTGCAATAGCAGGGAAATGCAGATGGTACGTTCTTTGGAAGGCACATTTAATCACAAGCAAGATTTAGATTCAACCTTATAAATTCTAAAGGTATATGGGGGTCATTGTACAGATCTGAACATTTTCTATGGACTCATATTCTGATGGCCAATCATTTTGCCTTCATCCTAATGGCTGACAAGATGGACCATATTCCCATCCATTCCACAGACACTTCTAACTGATGATATTGTATGTTATAAACATGAATGAATTGTCAGAAATCATCTACTTCCTATATGGATCTACCCAGCCTTCTTGTTGGGAAAAAGTTAGGCCCCTTGGTTGTATCCATTGCTAAGGGAAAACATAAATATAATAAAAAATAACTTGTGAAGAACCATCCAACATATGTAGCATTCAATCGTAATCAGTCTTTTGAATGTACCAGAAACAGTTCCTTGTGACATATGGATCAGGATCATAGCCTACACTGGGTGATGGGCTGGATGAAGGCCAATAGACTTGACTGGAATTCTGGCAAGATGGAAGTCCTGTAGCTGAATGGTTCCCACAACCAAGTGATAGGCTCGCTGCCCATTCTGGATGTGGTTGCACTTGCTTTGAAAGACCAAGTCCATAGGCTGAGATGCTCCTAGATCGAGCACTGTCAGCACACCATGGTAGCTCAGAGTGTCTTTTACCACCTTTGATTGGCTCTGCAACTACACTTCCCCTGTATTGGGAGAATTTGGTCACAGTATTGCCATCGTTGTCATTGCTACCATCACTATTGTCATCATTCCATTAAATGACATCCCACCTTTTTTCCTCCTGTGAGAAACCCAAGGTGGCTTACATAGCTCCACTTTATTCTCACAACAACCTGGTAGAGGAGCTAGTCACCAGTCACACTAGTTAGATGGCACGTTCCTCATGGGTGTGTACAGGCCACCTGTGGCTTGACTGGAATCCACCTGGATAAGAGCCTTTAATGGGACAGCTCCCTTTTTGTGGAACCTCCTCCTTCTCCAAGCCCAGCAGACACGGACCTTGTGTTCTTTCCAATCCCTTTTGAAAACTGCTGTATTTTAGGAAGGTTTCGTTGATTGGCCAGCCACTGTTTTTAATGATACTCTGTTTTTACCATTGGATATCATTTGTTTTATCTGTTTTATCTTCTTTTACAGTTCACTCTTTTGGAAACTATGTAGATGTGGAGAGTATACAAATGTGGTCTACATAAAGAACAGAGAGGTCCTATGGCTCCTAGACAACTCACCCTGAGGCTCACAAGATTAGTCAGAGTCCTACATAAAAATGTCCCAGTATCGGACATTGCACTCTGCCAGCCCTCCCTGGCAGCCAGCACAGAGAGAGCTGCACTGGTCACTTCTTGGAGGTCCCAAAAGTGAGCTCAGAAAGGGGACTTAGTGGGTGTTCTGGGGGGCAGGAAGAAATGGAGACAGGTGCTGCCAAGCTATATGATATCTAGGCAGTCCTTCAGCTTCCAGCTCTACTGCCCAGCATCTGCATAGGATTGCGTCTTAATAAATACATGATCTGAAGCAACATAATGTGCATATAGCAAATCCAAATACATGTTTTGTGTGTTTGTTTCATACTAGTTCACTTTGAGTTTTGAATACTAATCTGTAAAGCTGCCCTTGCTATGAAAGGGTTTCTTAAATAAATATTACAGAAGTAATTGTAGTCCTTTTCCCATGAATTACAGACACCAGAGAGAATGTGCATCAGGAATAATCTTTCTTTTCTGGAATTCTCTCTCTCTCTCTCTCTCTCTCTCTCTCTCTCTCTCTCTCTCTCTGTGTGTGTGTGTGTGTGTGTGTGTGTGTGTGTGATTAAAAGCAAATTATTTTAATTATGCATTTACTGCATTGTTAAATGAGGAAAGTATTAAAGGTAGATACTCAAGATACAGGAGGTTAAATGCTATTTTGAAAATATGGATCTTGTTTTAATATGTCTCGGCTGCTGGAAGCACTCAAGTAAATATATGATAGGGGTGACATTTTGAGTTGTTTCATTGCATCTCCTCCCTTTCTCCTTTTTTAAATAAAAAGGTGTCTTTCTTAGAAGATATTTTGTAGCCAGACATCATACCAAAACCAAAAATGGAGGGAAAGGGGCTAGTAGGAAGGGGACATAAAGAAGAGATTCTCTTTCCTTCATCCAGTTTAATAAAATTAAAGCAATTTATGTAATATTGATATGTCGATATGTTTTTCAATAATTTCCCCCCTACAATTTAAATAAAACTCTCATCACTTCAAAAATTATAATTATACGTCTTCCTCCCACTTTGAAAATGGCACAAGGTGCTCATTTGCAGAGTTCTACTCTTCAAATTTTCCTTGAGAATAGAAATGTCATGACTCAGTTAACAATGCTTTATTATTCACATTGATCTTTTTTTATAGTGTTCTTTATCTCAAAAACATTGTAAATCAGATAGCTTCCTCCCACTCTTTTGTTCATTTGCAAATTTTTATTATTCTCGTTTAAGAAAGCAATGGAGTGTCAAGAGTCACTATATATTGTTTATATTCTTTCTCTTCCTTTAAATTAGCTTTAAGTTTAAGAAAAATAAAGCTGAGCCGTCAGAAAAAAAAACGGATTTTTTTTTTAAAAGCGTGGAATTAAGGTAGAGAGGAAAAGTATTTGCTTCGGTGTGTGTGCGTGTGCATGCTTGAGTCAAGGGCAGGAAACCATGTCTATCAGACCAAGGCCTGAATTCAATTTCAGAGACATTCTCAGGGACCTGCAGAAAAGCTTTACTGGAAAGGAGTGGATTGGGTAGGTGTGCTGCAGGAAATGGGGTAGAGCAAAAGTCAAAAGGGGTGAGGAAGAATAAAAACCTATCAGCATATTGCAGTTTAAAGCTTTTACTGCCAGTAACTCAGCCAAAGAAGAGGCATGTCAGCCTTCTCGAATGGAAAGGGGACACAAGATGCATAGCGTCGGGGAAGCTGTGCCATAAAGCTGAGAAAGGAAAGCAGTGGGGCTTGGCGAAGAGGCCTGCCTGTCTGAGGGCGTCCAGGGTGCCTGGAAGCTAATTCTAGCCCAGGATTTCATGG